GTAGGATCATAAGCTTAGATAAATGTGAAATTATCCACCACCCGAATCTGATGTCAGTGGCGCGAGTTCGAACCTTGAACCGTAATGACTAACACTGGTAGTTGAACGTGGTTTGACCCACCACCACCACCACAAGCTGTTCCCTCCTCTTCCCTAAATAAAAAATATTAACTGGACGACGACATATGCTAGTGTACACTCCACTCCACAATGAACCTTTATTTTGCCAACACCCCTCTTAAGAACACCTAATGAACGCAGCATTTTCAGATTGTCGTTTATATCGTGCAACGATTCATCTCACTGTTGAATGCAAATCAACTGTATTGGAAAAGAGCTTCGTTTAACTTAGTTTCATATATTTTGTTCTCTGTTTCAGTCACGGTGATTANCGCTCACAAACTTTGACCATGGAAATAGACCAACAAAGCTGGTTTAGAACGCGATTGACCGTGGATTATCGCATAACACGCATGTTTTTCCTCATCGCGCTATGTGCACTGATGTCCCGTGCGACTAGTGAACATAGCAGTTGCCCAACCCAGTGCATCTGTGTGGAGAATCGTATGAACTGCGAGAAATCCGGGCTGAAAACTCTTCCACCCCCATTCCGTTTACATTTGGAAACACTGCATGTCGCCAATCAGACATTCGATTCAACCCGACTCGGTCCCAATGAGTTGGCTGTCTACACCAGTCCGGAATACGGAGGACAAGTGATTCTGAAAAAATTGTTCATCCGGTTTTGTAATATCAAATCGATTGAGCCTAAAGCGTTTCGCGCACTCGGGTCCACATTGGAAATGGTTGATCTGACAGGAAATCCGCTGATTCATGTAGGCGCCTACGCGTTTGCCGGTTTGGGTCCGTTGACGGTGGTTTTGGACAATATAGAACAACCGGAATTCGACAATGACGCATTTGAGGACTGTCGAATGAAAAGTCTGATGATGCAATACTCTAATCTGACCACTTTGCCTGTTCAATCCCTTCTTTCACTAGCTATGAAAGGAAGGCTGGAAAAATTGCTTCTAAAAGGCAATCGATTTCGCTATTTAGATAGGCAGTATGAACGTTTATTCAACGAACTTTCCTATTTTGAGGTGGATGAAAATCCATGGCACTGTGATTGTCAGTTGACGTGGCTTATTCGACGCTACCGGCAAATGCTTGAAAGTCGCGCTCGAGGCACACGACATCGAAGTCCGAGTGTGGATACCGGACCGGAAATCAAACAGCCCCGATGTGTTTCTCCCCCTTCGTTGGTTGGAAGAAAGTTCACAGATCTAATTACTGATCTCAGTGAAGTGTATTCCACAACACATGTAATCAATCAACCAGGGAGGCACCCACCTCCAACTATCCTGCATTGTCCACCGCCACAAATTGAACGTCTGGACATTAATTTAGAACAGTTTTTCACCGGAGATCGACTAGAATCCACAACAAATTCTGGACACGATCAAAAACATTTGAAACCAGCTGCTCATTTACGCTGTGCGGTTCGGGGTTCTCCACAGCTGTCTGTTATATGGCGTTATCATCATCCCGGTATGGGACCCACAAATTTGCTCAATACTAATGTCACACAGCGTGCCGGACACGGTCGGATGAACGGGTTATCTGGAGCTGGTAGTTTTGAACCGTGGTTAGATGACCGACGAGAAACTGAGACTGCATTACGCGTGGAAAAAACGGGTGAGCTAGATATTTATTCGTGTCTTGGTCAGGACGTTATCGGGAATGTGTCTGCCTTAGTGAGAATCCAGTGGCCTCCCAATCAAATCCCTATAATTCCCCCGACCACAACTGCATCCCCTGGATCAACTGGTCGCAAAGGGGAAACAAAAGATCGGTTGACAAATCACACTCGTGATGGTTCCATCTCACCCGACTGGGCGACAAAAGTAATTATGTCTTCTCAGTCAGCTCTTCATACTCCACAATTCAGTTTGAGTCAATTACTCGGCGCTATCGCGGGGACGTTTTTATCAACAGTTTTACTTTTTTTCATTGTACACTGGACATTACACTGTCGTATGGCTGATCGAGCTCGACATAAAGAATTCTCTGGCGAGAAGCAGCAAACAAATCTGATAGGTGTATCACCGGCTGGCACCTCATCGTCTCAAACTTCCTCTTCCAATGCGAAACTTGTTCCGGCAGTCAAAATGAGTGACTCGTCTGTGCACCCTTCTTCAGCTGCGGTTCCCATGCAAATCAATCAGGAAGCACTTTCTCTGACCGCGAATTTGTTCAACGCACATGCATATCATCAACTGATCAACGGAGGTTTGCAAAACATGGGTCACCACACATTACCTATGAACATGGGTCATGGAGGTGCCATACCGATCCCGACCGATCAATCTAAATCGCAATCTTCTCATCAAGATGATTGTAATACATCTCAATCCGCGGCCTATGAACCCGTCGCTTATTCCGAAGCCAAACCAATGACCTACGACATACCCTGGTTGATCAATATGCAAAATTCTCAACCGAAGGGCCCCAATGAACATCACCTTCCTCTACTCTTAAGTGGAATGCTGACTGATGTGAATCGATACGCGGAAACACCGGTTTCATCTCACCCCGGGCTCATTCAGTCCGCATTGATGATACCACCACCACCGCCTATACCCCAACCATCGTTACCACCATCAGCTCAATCCTCGTTGACATTGACCAATGGTATCAGTTCACGAAATCCGTCCATGACACAGAAAGATAGCAATTTATTTGCTCTGCAGGCCTCTGGATACCCATATCCCGGTTTCGTATCCAACCCGGGTCTTTTCGATTCCTCTCCGTCGTCCACATAACAGACCGA